CAATCATGTGCTACCGATCAGATGTGGCGTGTTGTGGCTAAGCCAGCTAAACGGCTTGCCTTGCTTTAAGGAACCCCGATTTCCGGAGTATCCGAGTTCCGAATAAATCGTTCTCACGTGACCCGTTACATTGCATTCTAATCCACTATCTTGCTTTACGAACCGACATTTCGACACGTGACAAATATTTTAACTTTACCACTTCGAGACTAATTTACTAGGAAAGCGCGCCATGGGTGTTCCAACAACTACCACCGACAACACAACCATTTCTTTAAAGACTTCACGAAAGCAAACAACCTCACATCGCATAGCCCTAGGCGATGTCACACAAAACAACATGGGTCAATTAAAACGCCTAAACTCTGTTCTGTTTCCGGTGCATTACACTGATAGATTCTATAAAGATGTGCTAGAGGTGGGGGAATTCGCGAAGTTGGGTGAGTAATTTTTTGCGTGTTACTCAGTTCCTTTCAAGAAACTTTGGTTTTTTCGGCGGAGGGTAAGTTTTCACACGAAAATTCGGTGGTTTGTAATTTTTTTTCTTTAGTTATAAAAGATGCGTTGTATATTTTGGACGATTTTTTTCATGAAAATTATTGTTATTTTACTAATTAAATTCGCACAAATTATTATTATTCTTACGATATACAGTCTATTTTAATGATGCCTGCGTGGGTGGAGTATGCTGCCGCAAAGAACCTATCGCTGGCACAAGTCCCGAACAATTAAAACTCTATATCATGACATTGGGAGTGTTAGCGCCATATCGAAATCTAGGTCTAGGTAAATATACTATTATCTTTACACCCGTATATTTCGATATTTGTTACCTAATTTCAGATAACTATTAGGCACAGCCCTCCTAAAACACATACTGGAACACGTGCACGCCATCAACTCATCACAAAATCATCCAAAATTCATAGAAGTTTACCTGCACGTGCAGATGTCAAACAATGAGGCGATATCCTTTTACAAAAAATACGATTTCGATATTGTTGGCACTATCGAAGGGTATTATAAGAAAATCACGCCACCTGACGCGTATATTTTGAGCAAGAAACTTTTGGTGGAGTGATGGGATGTGTGGAACAAGTACCTCTAAGTAAAAAGATGATTATAATGATCGGGGAATGGAAAGGATATTGATTTGTGTTAACATGCATATTTGGGCACGATTTTTTTATATACTATATATATCTATTCACTCGCACGGAAGTACTTTGTCCTCTATGAGTACGCTTATTATTAAGTGATAAGTAAATATTAATAAACAAACACGTATATATTATATAAAAGATCACAAACACTTTCATGCACAGATCGAAAATATCTAATGTCAAAAGTAAATTAGTACAAAAAACAAATGCCAAATTATAATAATATTAAAGAAAAAATAACAATTATGATTAAGTCTATTAATAAAAAATTGTTGGCAAGAAAACTATATTACATAAAAATTCCTTTGCGTATGCAAAAATAAATAATTCTAATGACAGTAAATAGTAATACAAAAAAAGAATATGTATTTATATAAGTTTATTTATAATGGGTTTATGATGAGGGGAGGGATATATATGGATTAAACAAAAATGTGTTAAAAAAATTGAATTGCTGTTTCAAAGCCTGAATGAACATTAGGTAATTTTTCTTTGTATGAAATATAAAAAATTTATTTTTCGCCCCGATTCAAGAATCTAAAGTCTTTTAATTTCTTAAATTTTTTCTTTTTTCCACCCTCGCCTGGGAATTCTGTCGCATCGTCACCGCTCGACTCTTTATCAGACTCAAGCGTCCGCATATCTCTTATTATCTGATCGTAGACACCTTTTAGCACGGCCATCTTTAAAATCATGTCGTCTCGTTGTGGAAAGGTGACCGGTAGATTGGATTGCGAGGGTATTGGCGACGGGGGATGACTATTCGTGACGTCTTGTTGTGATGCGTTTAATGATTCAGTACCACCTGTCAATTCCGACATGAAATCGTTATCAAGTTCACGTAGTCGCTTTAATATTGAATCGTGCATTCGCCATAATAATGTTCGTTCAACGTGCTGTGGAACTTTTTGTTGATAGGGGCTAATTTTAATATTATTTGCGTTGCTAGTTCGAGTGTCATCCTGTGTGATGGTGTATCCAAAAGCGGGCCATTCACCAACATGAAAAACATTCAACAAATTCAACCGACCAAGTGTTGTCGGTAAATTCACCAAAGAACTATTCCCCATCAATCGAATCTCGCGTAACGCCTGACAATCGCCAATCGATAACGGAAGCTCTGCAAGTAAATTATCGGAAATTTCCAAAATTTCCAAATTTTTCAGACGTCCGATCGTTCTTGGAATACGTTTCAACCTATTCCCGGAAGCATACAACTCGCGTAATTTTTCCAGCTGTTCGATTTGTTCTGTGAGATCCGATATACGATTATTGGAAATTTTCAAAATCACCAATTTATCGAGTCCGTCGAGTTTCGGGATCGCGTCAAATGCATT